CTAATGTATAATTCTTATGCAGATTTCCCCAGTACTTCCCATTTTGTCCCTTATAGCTGTTGTTTTTTTTGTTTTTTGAGTCCAGGTTCCAATCAAAGATTGCATTTAGTTGCCATGTTACTTTACTCTCCTTTAATCTACAGCTATTTACTAGAATTTTTTTGTCTTTCATGACACTGACATTTTCAAAGATGCTTTGCAGATGTCCTTAAGTTTGGGCTTCTCAGATTGTTTCCACATGTTTAGATTCAGGTTAAAGGAACTCGCGGGAATGTCACTTAGTGAAGTTGTGTCCTCAGTGTATCATATTAGGAAGCATATGATGTCATTATATTGCATTATTGGTGTTGGCAAATTTGAGCATTTGGTTAAGATAGTGTTCACCAGGTTGCTTCATTGTGGTGGTACCCTTCTCCTTTGTTATAAGCATTCTCTGGAGTGATATTTTAAGATGTACGAATGTCCTCCTAACCCATTGGTGTCCATTGATTCTTGTCTGAATCACTCACTGTTATTGTTTTTGTAAAATGGTGATTTTCTTTTTCTATCTTTCCTTTTGCATTTATTAGCTGGCTTTTCTGTAAAAAAGAGCTTTCCATTTTATGGTAGGCAGAATAATGGTCCCCCAAAGATGTCCACCTGCTAATCCCCAGAGCCTATGAAGATATTACCTGACCTAGCAAAGGGGAATTGAGGCAGAAGAGGAGTCAGCCTGATGCGATGTGAGAAGGACTAGACCCACTGTTGCTGGCTTTGAAGACAGAGGAAGGAGACTACAAGCCAAGGAATGGGGGCAGCCTTTTCCTTTCTAGAAGCTGGAAAAGGAAGGAAATGGACCCTACCCAGAGCCATTAGAAAGGAGCGCAGGCCTGTCGATGCCTTGATGAGACTCGTAGCAGACTTCTGACCTACAGATCTAAAGATAATGCGTTTGCATTGTTGAAGCCTCTAACTGTGTGGTGATTTGTTTTAGCAGCGATAGAAAACTAGTATACTTTCTCACCTTCTTATCAGTATGGATTCCTGGATTCTTTTCTTTTGTATAAGTGAGTTATAATCTATCTCTGTCACTATTCATTTTTATATTCACATTGTCTCAAATCTGGCCATTGGGAACCCCTTCAAGATCCTTGTGACATGTTCCCAATCGGTTTTTGAGCATTTTCCTCTTTCTTGGCATAGTGAGGTATTCCAGGCCTGTCTTGTGCTTTCCTTCTCCAACTTGGAATCAGAACACAAACTCTTAAGCAGCGCACTGTACTGCTTCTTATACTCTGCACCAAAGTGAACACACATGACTCTGCACTGTTTTTCTTATGATAATATTGCAAAGACCACATAATAGTGATTGAGTATTGAATATTGGGAAAGCCCTGTACCTGGGCTTTAATGGGTTGCCACAAGAATAAAAACTATGGAGTGTCTGGTCTTTTGATTCCAGTCGTGTGTCTGCTTTGCATGGTGTTCCTTCCAGAGCTGGGCAAATAGTAGCAGAGATTTATGAATATTTTCACATAAATTCGTAAGAAGAAATGCTTATCTTTGTAGAGGCTGAATTTTGTTCTAGGGTCTGTCCATAAGTTTCTGTATTATGCTCATTCAGAAATTGTTCAATATGCGGTCCTTTAAAAACATTGCTCTGTAGAATTCTTAGCTAGCTTTTCAGACAATTTGGGGTGATGCATAGAAAGATATTGAATTTAATGGGCCAGAGTAAATCTTAGTCTTTGGGGATATATAGAAATCTCACAAGATTACAGATTTGTCTTTTAGACAGGTCACAAGCACGGAATACTTACAGGGGCCTGGTAGGAAATATGAATGGTGAAGCAGGCCGGGTGGGGACTGTGCTGAACTGGACAGTATGGGCCTGTCCTGAAGGGAACACTTGCACTTCTCCACCTGACTCTTGCCATGCTGGAGTGACAGAGCCCAGAGTTGCCAGGGTGTTTAAGAGAAACTCAGAAAACTATTTTATATGAATTCCTCCAATTTCAAAAGGTTAACAATTAATTAAGGGTTTTTTTCAATGTTTTCATTAGCTCGGTCAGTCTTGTAAGATGCTTCTGATGGCTCTAGCTGGGAGAAAGGATGAGATGAATTTTTTCTTTTGGTGAGGAAGATTGTCACTGAGCTAACATCTGTGCCAGTCTTCCTGTAGTTTGTACGTGACCCGCTGCCACAGCATGGCTTGCTGAGCAGTGTGTAGGTCCGCACCTGGGATCTGAACCCACAAATCCCAGCGGAGTGTGTGAACTTAACTGCTGCGCTGCTGGGCTGGCCCCTAGTTCACTTTTATTTTAAAGCTCAGTGAGGAACAAACCAACCACATCTGCAGATGGGTTTTGGCCCTCAGCGTCAGTTTATAACTACTGGTCTAGATACACTGGTGACCAGCATTGTTGCACACACAGCTATCTAGAGGGGTTCTTAACGTTTTGGTGCAGTGTGGACCCTATCGGCCGTGTGGAGAAGCCTGTGGGTCTCTTCTCAGATTAATGTTTTTTAAGTATATTAAAAAAATACATATGACTAAAAAGAAAATCAATCATATTGAAGTACAGTTACGAAAATATTTTAAAAAAAGAAACTTGTAGTATATCTGCTTTTTTATGCCTGCCTTAAATAACATGACCTAGTGGTAGTTCTGCTAACTACCATAATTTTTTAATACTGTGAGAATAAGTGATATTTTGAGATAACTGTAATCACTGTAAAATAATGTTAAAATGCCTGGTATTTGTTGGTGGCAGGTCATGAGTACTGCTTATACTACTCTGCTTTGTTGCCGACATTCCTGATTGAAGCTTATACTACTCTGCTTTGTTGCCGACATTCCTGATTGAAGGTCATGTTAAACTTCAACTAGAAATTAGTGAAAATGAAGATGTCATTTTCCCCCCGTCCATATTTAGTAGCCCCTAATGAATCTCAGGTCAAGAACCCTTGGCCCAAAATAATCCACAACCTATTTGTAGTAGCATAAGGGCAGCAGTATAGTATTTTTTAAAAAAATTAATTTTATTGCAGTAACTTTGGATTATAACATTATGTAACTTCCAGATGTACATCATAATATATTTCGAATTCTGTGTAGATTAAATCATGTTCACCACCCAAAAACTAATTATAGTGCATCCTTCACATGTGAGCCTAATCACCCCTTTTGCCCTTCCCTCTCCCCCCTTCCCCTATGGTAACTACCAATCCAATCACCATTGCTATGTGTGTGTTTGTCATTGTTTTTATCTTCTACTTATGAGTGAGATCATATGGTATTTGACTTTCTCCCTCTGACTAATTTCACTCAGCATAATACCCTCAAGGTCCATCCATGTTGTCACAAATGGCCGGATTTCATCATTTTCTTATGGCTAAGTAGTATTCCATTGTGTATATATACCACATCTTCTTTGTCCATTCGTCCCTTGGTGGGCACCTAGGTTGCTTCCAAGTCTTTGCGATTGTGAATCATGCTGCAGTGAACATAGGAAGGGATGCGTGTATCTTTATGCATTTCTGTTTTCAAGTTCTTTGGATAAATACCCAGCAGTGGGATAGCTGGATCATAAGGTAGATCTATTCTTAATTTTCTGAGGTTACTCTCATACTTTCCGTAGTGGCTGCACCAGTTTGTACTCCCACCAGCGGTGTACGAGGGTTCCCTTCTCTCCACATCCTCTCCAACACTTATTGTTTCCTGTCTTGTTAATTATAGCCATTCTGACTGGAGTGAGGTGATACCTCATTGTAGTTTTGGTTTACATTTCCCTGATAGCTAATGATGTTGAGCATCTTTTCATATGCCTGTTGGCCATCCGTATATCTTCTTTGGAGAAATCTCTGTTCAGTTCTTTTGACCATTTTTTAATTTGGTTGTTGGTTTTTTTGTTGTTGAACTGTATGAGTTCTTTGTATATTTTGGATGTTAACCCCTTATCTGATATATGGTTTGCAAATATCTTCTCCCAATTGTTAGGTTGTCTTTTCATTTTGTTGATGGTTTCCTTTGCTGTGCAGAAGCTTTTTAGTTTGATGTAGTTGCATTTGTTCATTGTTTCTTTTGTTTCCCTTGCCCAGTCAGACATGGTACTTGAAAATATGCTGCTAAGACCCATGTCAAAGAGCATTCTGCCTGTGTTTTCTTCTAGAGGTTTCATGGTTTCGGGTCTTACATTCAAGTCTTTAATCCATTTTGAGTTGATTTTTGTGCATGGTGTAAGGGAATGGTCTACTTTCATTTTTTTGCATATGGCTGTCCAGTTTTCCCAACACCGTTTATTGAAGAGACTCTCCTTTCTCCATTGTAGGCTCTTGGCTCCCTTATCAAATATTAGCTATCCAGAGCTGCGTGGGTTTATTTCTGGACTCTCGATTCTGTTCCATTGATCTGTGTGTCTGTTTTTGTACCAGTACCATGCTCTTTTGGTTGCTATGGCTTTGTAGTATATTTTGAAATTGGGGAGTGTGATACCTCCAGCTTTGTTCTGTTTTCTCAGGAATCCTTTGGCTATTCAGGGTCTTTGTTGTTCCATATACATTTTAGGATTCTTTGTTCTATTTCTGTGAAAAATGTTGTTGGAACTTTGATAGGGATTGCATTGAATCTATAGATTGCTTTAGGAAGTATGGATATTTTAACTATGTCAATTCTTCCAGTCCAAGAGCACGGACTATCTTTCCATTTCTTTGTGTCTTCTTCGATTTCTTTCAACGTTTTATAGTTTTCAGTGTACAAATCTTTCACCTCTTCGGTTAAGTTTATTCCTAGGTATTTTATTCTTTTTGTTGCAATTGTAAATGGGATTGTATTCTTAATTTCTCTTTCTGCTACTTTGTTGTTAGTGTATAGAAACGCAACCGATTTTTGTATGTTGATTTTGTACCGGCAGCAGTATAATGTTATTGAGTATAATTAAGCAAACCACCCTCTTGCACTTTGTATCTGTCTCTACAGCTAAATTTCTCGTTACTGAACTTGATTCTGTGTTTTTCTTTAGAACGTTATCATTTGTCTTACAAGATTGTGCGAACAGACAGTCGCCTGGTACGCAGCATTCTGACAGCCCATGGATTTCATGAAGTAAGCTCATTTTTACTGCCTCACCTGATCTGCTCAGAAGCTGAAAATCCCGGCTCTCTGGCTACCAGTTAACAGGCCCAGCTCTAGAAAGTACCCGGCACCAATGCTTAGTGATAATGCAGAACTAGGATTGAATTTCTGAGTGGCGTTACCAGTTTCTTCTTGAAATATGTGTAAAACATTTTCACACGATTTTTTTTTTTTGCAAAAAATCACATTGTTTTTCTTGCTATGTTTGTAAGCTTGAGCTAGAGGCAGAGTTGCCCGTAAGAAATTGCCTGATACCCAATCAAGGTTCTTTGATTTCAAGCAACAGAAATAGACTCTGCTGAAGTTAAACCAGAAGGGATTTATAGGAAAGATGTGCACGAGGTGGCTAGTGGAATTGGAGGAAAGGCTGAAAAGGCAGGCCTTTGAAAGGAGAGAGACCAGGACAGCCCCAGGGATCTGGGAACAGGAATCTTCAGGGCCATTTCCTCAGGGCACTGCTGTGGAAGTGACACGACTGTGTTCATTGTCTTTGTTCCTTTCCCTGCTCAAGAGTCACATTCTGGAGATAGAATGACTGGCACAGCTTGGATCATGGCTCCACTCCTTGGGGGAGGGAGAGGTGGGTGATTGGCAGGTCTTTTAAAACCAAGGAGTATGTTACTCCCAAAGAAAATTGGGAATATTGGGATTTTGACATCAAAAGGTACAAACTAAAATGCTGAACAGACTTCCACGGTAGATATTTTGAGACAGTTGGTACAAGTCTGGTTGCTAGCTCTATATCTTAGATAGAGGTCTGAAGTAGACATTTTGAGGAAGTTCTGATACCAGTGTATATGCTATCTTGTGGCTGTTTTATCTCCAGGGCTTAACATGGTACCTATCGTGTCATAGGCACAGAGTACATAATTGTTGAATGAATGGACAAATGAATTCTTTTTTTTTGCTGAAGAAGATTCACTCTAAGCTAACATCTGCTGCCAATTTCCCTCTTTTTTTGTATGTGAGCTGCTGCCACAGCATGGCCACTGACAAAGAAGTGGTATAGGTCCGTGCCCGGGAACTGAACCAGGGCCACTGAAGTGGAGCATGCCAAACTTAACCACTAGGCCCCTGGGGCTGGTCCAGACAAATGGGTTCTTATGAATGAGTGAATGAATTCGAAGTTGGTTTCTACTATAAGGTTTTAGTTCTGATCGGTACTTTATACCCAGCGTATGCAAGGACATGAGGACACTCTGAGAAGAGAGTTTGGAGTTGGGCCCTCTTCTCATACTTTGATGTGCAAGAATGCTAAGTGACATCATGGACTTCTATAGGAGGGTTAATTTATCGTACTGTTTGCATCTGGGATTTGCTCAACTCTCGTATTCCTTAAACTTGATTATCCTTGTGTTCTGTATACTCAACTTTTGTCTTGTTAGGCTCTCATACTGAGACACCTCTGTGAGTACTCTGTGGATGAAAAATGTCTACAGGCATCACTCTTCTGGAAGAGAGGCTATCTCTGATGTTTTTGTCTTGTCTTCTTATCTGCCCTCAGGTTCACCCAAGCAGCACTGACTATAACCTAATGTGGACAGGATCCCACCTGAAGCCCTTCTTGCTTCGCACCCTCTCTGAAGCACAGAAGGTTAATCACTTTCCCAGGTAATGCTCTTGCAGCTACTTTGCTCCGTTTGAATCTACCTGGCATTGGGCATGTAGCCAGCAGAGAGAATTAGTGTCCTGAAAAAAGGTCTGTGATACAGGGCAGCAGTCTGCAAATCAAACTGAGGTGTTTATATCCCTAAGCATATATGCGGCCTTTCCAAGGACTGTGTAGATATGGATGATTTTAAAGGAGGCTGTTTCTGGATTGCAGTCATAGGTTCTCTTTCCTAAAATAGGGCTGCTTGCGAGTCCCTCACGTGGACACGTTCTCCCTTCTCACCTCCTTTTTCATAGTTATTGTTTTTCCGCTTTATAAAAGAGTGGCCCAGCTAGATTCTTAACATGGTGCTTTGTCCTTAGGTGTAAAAATTTCCAGGGTTCCAAACAAAAGTACAAGAAAATTGGTATTTAATTGAATTCTACGATGCATTGAATTCTTTTTGTATGATAGGGATTTCCATTTGTTTGCTTTTAACAGAATTGAAGGAGGACATAGTCAAGTTGTCAGCTGACAGATCATTAAATATAATTTTTAATCATAGATCATCTTGTGACTTTTTCTTTTTAAAGATTTTATTTTTCCTTTTTCTCCCCAAAGTCCCTGAGTACATAGTTGTATATATTTTAGATGTGGGTCCTTCTGGTTGTGCTGTGTGGGACGCCGCCTCAGCGTGGCCTGATGAGTGGTGCCATGTCCATGCCCAGGAGCTGAACTGGTGAAACCCTGGGCCGCTGAAGCAGAGTGTGCGAACTTAACCACTCAGCCACGGGGCCAGCCCCCCTTTTTTTTTTTTCCATCTTGTGACTTTTGACACAAGATGGGGTGTGTCAGGAAGGGGTTCCGAGAATTGAGTGTCGTTGCTATAGAAAACGTCTTCCAGTTGCCTTTGGGTTTTTTTGTTTGTTTGGTTATTTTTGCAAGGAAGCTTTTTGCCCTGAGCTAACATCTGCTGCCAATCTTCCTCTTTTTTTGTATGTGAGCTACCACCACAGCATGGCTACTGACAATCGGTGTAAGTCCACGCCTGGGAACCGAACCCAGGCTGCTGAAGCAGAGTGCACCAAACTTAACCATTAGACCACCGGGGCTGGCCCTCCAGTTGCTTTTGTTAATGGAAGCCTAGAGAGGCAGTATTGCCTCATGGTTAGAAGCAGAGGCTCTGTAGCTAACTACCTGGGCCCAGATCCCAACTCTGCTGAGTGACCTTGGACGAGTGACCTTTCTAAGAGTCAGTTTCCTCATTGGTAAAAAGAAGGTACTAATGATGCATACTTCATAGGACTGTTGTGAGGATTTAATATGTCAAGATCTAAAGTGCTTAGAACAGTGTGTGCCTATCACACGCAGTAAAGACTATGTAAGTTAGCTATTATTTTTGTGAACAAGGTTTCTTAGTGTTTACGTCTATGAAAAAGAAAACAGGAGGAAACTTAATGCTGAAACCCTGGTTTTTCTAGCCAGTAAGTAATAACCATGAAGAGATACATGGTTACATTTTTATTTTATTTTCAGGACTTAGGCCCCAGTTATTCACTTATGCCAACAAGTTTTATTTTCAGTTATCTCGTATACTTTTCTCACTTTCATGTAATGAAGGTTCTTTCTTGATTTTTCAATTCTACTGTCTTATATCTAGGCACTGTGTATAAATGCCTGGCCTAAGCTGCCTCTGTTCTCAGATAGTTTCTTCATAATCTTGGATAAATGTGTGTTTTGAGTCTTCATAACAAGTTCCAGTTTTATTTTATGTCTGAGCTTCATTTGCAGAAATTAATTTAAACCTTCTTTTCTTCCTTACTGCCTGGAAGCTGTAGATTTGGTTTTCTAAAAGTGTGACTGGATGCTTGAAGTGAATCAGATGTGTCTACTTTAAATAGGCGTTTAAACAGTCTTTAAATAGCCCGCACTAGAGTCTGCATTCCTAATTCATGATAGTAGTTAGTATTTATTTCAGGAGTGTTTCAACTATTCCTGTAGGTATATGGGAATTTCATCTCAATTTGGACTCTGTCAGTATTAAAAATTCTAACCCTATATTTTTTTGACTACTCTTTGAATGTGTTGCATGTTTGAGAAATTAATGATCCGTTACCTAAATGCGTACACTTTGTGGCTTCTGCTGCTCTCTCTCTCCTCTTTTAATCCAAGGACTTCTAACTCACATGCAAGAGGAATTCTAACCCTTAAAATGTTTCCAATATTATTGTGAACTCTTCCTTAATAAAATTTTTTTAACTTTTTATTTTAAATAATTTTAGACTTATAGAAAAGTTGCAAAAATAAAATAGTTACTGTGTATGCTTTACTTAGTTCTCCTAATGTTAACATGAGATAACCACAGTGTAATTATCAAAATGGAGACGTTTACATGGCTATAATATAGATTTTAATCAAACTCTATAATATTTATGGTGTTTTGATGAATTGTGTACTGTAATACAGTGATAATCAGTCCAATATAAACAGTTAAAGCCTTTATGATCACAGGAAATTAAAAAATATTACATATTACTTCATGTCCATATTTTTATTGTAGAGAAGGTAGGATATGGTGTAGAAGATGTACAAGCATTAAGTATGTTCTTTTAGGTTACACTGTTCTTTAGGGGAAAGGGGATGGAAGAAGTAAAAAGGGTGACTGGGGGGATAATGTCTGGGTGGGAGTATGGGGGAGGCTTCAGGGATGCTGGCAGTGTTCTGCGCTCAGTCTTGTAAAGATTCTTCATGCTCTGCACTAGTAGTCATGTGTGTGCTTTTCTGTATATATGTTAACTTCAGTAAAAAGCGTATTTAGGGGCTGGCCCCGTGGCCGAGTGGTTGAGTTCGCACGCTCCGCTGCAGGCGGCCTAGTGTTTCGTTGGTTCGAATCCTGGGTGCGGACATGGCACTGCTCATCAAACCACGCTGAGGCAGCATCCCACATGCCACAACTAGAAGGACCCACAACAAAGAATATACAACTATGTACCGGGGGGCTTTGGGGAGAAAAAGGAAAAAATAAAATCTTTAAGAAAAAAAAAAGCGTATTTAAAAAAGTGAGAAATTTACTGACAAAAAGAGCTTTTTCTTTAGTAACATTTTTTTTTTTTTTAAAGATTGGCACCTGAGCTAACATCTGTTGCCAATCTATCCTTTTTTTTTCCTTCTTCTCCCCAAAGCCTCCCAGTACATAGTTGTACATTCTAGTTGTATGTCCTCCTGGTTGTGCTTTGTGGGATGCCATCTCAGCATGGCGTGATGATGTGCCATGTCTGCGCCCAGGATCCGAACTGGCAAACCCCTGGGCCGCTGAAGCGGAGTGTGCGATCTTAACTACTCGGCCACGGGGCCGGCCCCTTTAGTAACATTTTTTGAATGTATGGTGGCTGTTGAATCCTGATGTTATTTAGGTTCCCTTGAGTATACTTAAAAGGGTACTGTTACAGTTTTATTTTAAAATGATATTTACCATTCATTGGATCCTTTGGAATGATTTAAATTTATGATGAAAAATCTTTGATGTCAACTAAAATGATACATAGTCTCCCCAAATTTGCATAGGGAATACCAAGCAAAAAAGCTTTGAGACCAGTAAAACTGAGCATCTGTAGGAGAGAGTGTTCTTCTTATCCTCTGGTTCAATGTTTCTAATTCCTTTATGCTAAGAATCACTGGGGGTATTTTTAAAAACATATACATTCACAGGTCCCGTTGCAGATTCATGGAATCCCCTTCTCAGAAAAGATGTGTATTTAAAAAGCACCTTCTACGTGCTTAATCTTTCCAGATAAATATACACTGGAATGTATGTATTTAAAAAGCAATGAGGTGATTTATATCCAGGAAGTTTGGAAACTATGAAACTAGACTAAATCGCTGTTACAGAGTGGTCTCTGGACCACCTGTACCAAGATCACCTGAGGTACTTGTTTAAAATGTACCACATGAGGTACTGCTGCGTACCTGTTAGAATGGCTAAAAACAAAGCCAAAAAACCAAACACCACCAAGTGCTGGTCAGGATGCAGTGCAACCGGAACACTAAAGCTTTGCTGGTGGAAATTGCAAAAGGGCACAGCTGCTTTGGATAACAATTCGGCCATTTCTTATAAAGTTATATACTGATGTGGTGGTTTCAAAATGTGTCCACAGATTCATTGACATTGCCTTCAAAAGGTTGAGCTTCATTTCTCTAGTTTTGAGTATGGGCTGGACTTAGTGACTTACTTCTAACAAATAGATATGCAGAAGCGATAGCATGTCACTTCTGAGACTATGTCAGAAAAGACATGGCAGCTTCTTTTTTTTTTGTTTTGAAGATTGGCACCTGGGCTAACAACCGTTGCCAGTCTTTTTTTCCTGCTTCTCCCCATGCACCCCCAGTACATAGTTGTATATTTTAGTTGTGGATCCTTCTAGTTGTGGCATGTGGGATGCCGCCTCAGCGTGGTCTGATGGGCGGTGCCATGTCTGCAACCAGGATCTAAACCAGTGAAACCCCGGGCCGCCGAAGCAGAGCGCACGAACTTAACCACTCAGCCATGGGGCTGGCCCCCAGGCAGCTTCTTTCTTGCTCTGTTTCTGTCTGTCTTGGATCATTTTCTAGGAGAAACCAGCTGTCATGCCATGAAGGCACTCAATTAGCTTTATGGAGAAATTCACATGGGAAGGAACTGAGGCTTCCTGCCAACAGCTAGCCCCATGTGAGTGAGCTATCTGGAAAGTGGATCTGCCAGCCCCTGACAAGCCTGATGACTGCAACCCTGGCCAACGTCTTGACTGTAACCTCATAAGAGACCACAAGACAGAACTACCCAGCTCTGCCACTCCCACATTCCTGACCCACAGAAACCATGCAAGATAGAAAATACTTATTTTAAGCTGCTATGTTTTGGGGTAATTTTTTTATGCAGCAATAGATAAGTAATACAACTTACTAAACAATCTCATTAAACCCAGCAGTCCCTCTTCTAGAGAGATGAAAACTTATATTCACACAAACACTTATAAAAACTTATGTTCAGGGGGCCGGCCTGGTGGCGCAGCAGTTAAGTGTGCACGTTCTGCTTCGGCAGTCCAGGGTTTGCCAGTTCGGATCCCGGCTGTGGACATGGCACTGCTTGTCAGGCCATGCTGAGGCAGGCGTCTCACATATAAAGTAGAGGAAGATGGGCACGGATGTTAGCTCAGGGCCAGGCTTCCTCAGCAAAATAAGGAGGATTGGCAGCAGATGTTAGCTCGGGGCTAATCTTCCTCAAAAAAAAAAAAGAAACAAAAAATTTATGTTCATACAAACACCTGTACACAAATGCTTATAGCAAGTTTGTTCATAATAGTCAAAAACTAGAAACAGCTCTAATGTCCTTCAGCTGGAGAATGGTTAAACAAACTGTGGTACACCCAAACAATGGATTACTACTGAGCAATGGAAAGGGATGAAATGCTAATCCGGCAGCAACAAGGATAAATCTCAACTGTGTTATGCTCAGTGAAAGAAGCCAGGCTCAAAAGGATACATACCATAGGGTTCCGTTTATTTCACTTTCTGGAAAAGGCAAAATTACAGGGACAGAAAACAGAGGAGTGTTTGCCAGGGCCTGGAGGTGATTGGAAGGGTTGACTGCAAAGGGACTTGGAGTAACTTTCTGGGATGTTGGAACTGTTCTGTATCTTGATGTTGGTGGCGGTTACATAGTAGTATGTGTTTGTTCAAACTCATAGAATTATACTCTGAAAACAGCAGATTTTACTGTACGTAAATTCTACCTTAGTGACTAAATCTTACCTAAGATATTCATTTCATGGAAATGATTAATAAACCTTTGAGGTTGACAAAGTGATAGATTTGGGGTATAATACTATCCTCTGGAACTGTGAACTATGAACTCTCTAGAAAGTGACAACACAGGAAAACCTGAGTTGTGATTTACTAAAATGGGAATACTTTTATGATTTTTAGGTCATATGAACTAACCCGGAAGGACCGATTGTACAAAAACATCATTCGAATGCAGCATACGCATGGCTTCAAGGCTTTCCACATCCTCCCTCAGACCTTCCTGCTGCCGGCTGAGTATGCGGAATTCTGCAGTAAGTGCTTGACTGACTCCCCATCCTCAGCACCTGGGCTCAGGCAGACTTACCCCGAGGGCTGCCTCGAGTCACTAACCAAGCAGGGCTTTTCAGATCCTTACAAATTGTGTTTCTTTAGTAAAACAGCTGCAGAGATAACTTTAAAACTGTTTTTATTCTGATTGTGTACCTGTATGTTTATTCTTAATAAGCTTGTTGGTATTATTTATGGGAGGACACATTGGTATCGTATACATGTGCCCTTGTCTTGTACAAAAGGTCTCTTCTTCTTTGATAAGAGTTAGTGCTTATGTAAGGATGTATATACTTCTGCATTTCAACTACATGTGCTTCCTTTTTGCTGTGTCTTTTCCCCTTTAAGGACTATTCTGCTCACTTTGATTTCTGGACTTGTGTGACTTACGTTTTTTAGGGTACAAGTGTCATGCGTCTGTTGGTGTTGGGGTTTGGAGGTACCAGTTAGTCACACTCTCTCTCCTTAAAGTCCAGACTAATTGAAAAATACATGTGGGAGCCATAATCTAAATGTCAGCTGTACTGCTGGTAAAGCCAGAGAGGAACACGTGGTCCACCTTTGGGTTTCAGTGGGCTGCTTGTTTCTTTTGCCTTGAAGTGAACTCACCTCCCCAGCTCCAGGTAGAGGAGATGGGCTATCTTAGGCTTTCCTCCATGGGGTCAGAGCCTGACCCCAACTCAGTAGGCTTAGTGCACGGGAGAGGCATGAGTACAGAGGAGGTTGGAGGCAGGTCTTTGTGAGAGTCTAAATAGTGATAATAATAATAATAGCTGACACTTAATGAACATTTCCTGTCTGTTAGGCCCTCTCCTAAGTGGCACCTATATTCTGAGGTAGGTACTCTTATTGCTCCCAGTTTCACTGATGAGGAGACTGAAGTACGGAGAGGTTAAGAAACTTGTTATGCAGCTGACAAGTGGTGGAATTAGGATTCAGACCTGGCAGTTTGTTGTCAGAGGCCATGCTCTTCACCACTGCACTGTGTTGCTGAAGACGCTGGGCAGTGTGCACACAATGACCATTTCTCAATATTGCCAATGAGAGAAGTCACCTCTATGAGGAGGATCAGGTACAACACAGAGAGAGGAGAGGCATATTGAGAGTTTTCCTCTCAGTAAGTCTGAGAGAGACTATTCCTGTTTTATGGGTAAAGGAAGAGAAAGTTCTCTCTAGACTTCCTGACTTTGGATTCTTTTAACCTGTTGGACTTAACAATCTGGATCATTACCCAGTGGGGTCTTCAGCTTCTGGGACTTTCGTCATCAGGGGCCGTCATCAGAATCTCCCCCTTCCATCTTGGTGAGGCCATTTCTCTGATAGCACTTGTTGCTGTGGCTGGGGCCATTGTTTGGCAGTTCAGTGTTTGCCCACAGGCGGCTCTGAAATGGATCATAAGAGAATGTTAATTAGGTGAATTAAGTTAACTTCAAAGCTATAGTACCCCTAAAGCTGAAAATTTGCAGTTAAGAATTTTTGTTATGTGACTTTAGCTACGTTACTTAAACCTCTCTGTGCTTTAGCTTCCTCCTCTGTAAAATGAAACTATTACCAGTACTGACCTGATAGTGTTGTTCGGATTTTTAAATAGGTTAATATATGGAATGCACTTGGAATGATGCCTGATGGGTGCTTAATAAATGTGCAATATTATTTCCTATTTCAAATTACATTGAGATGTATTGTTACGTAATAAAATAAAAAACGACGTTATAAGCCAACATAAAAATGCTTCAACTAACGTGTCAGCAACATAAAAGGGTCCTCAATATGAACTCCTCTTGTTGAACTCCTAATGAGAAATTAAAGTCCAGGAAGGTTCCCTATTAAAGATGAAAGGAATCTAAGTTGAAAAATTCCCTTTCTCCTGTCTGCTATTTTTTCTTCTCAGTGCTCCCCCACCCCTGGAGGCAGGCTGAGGGCTGGCATCCTTCAGATGATTGGGTAGAGGTAGGCTTCCTCCAGCGGTTCAAGCCTCACCTGTCTTTCAGTAGAACTGCTGCTTCAGCATATCGTTCAGACTTTGGTGTGTTCTACTTTTTAACAAAAGTCAATTCAAAAGGTCAGTAGAGCACACAGAATTAATACACCTGCAACCCACAGCTGCCGCATTTAGGCCCAGGGCTAAATTACAGGCAAATGGTGTTCCTCAGTCCCCAAAATGAACCTCTCATTACCACTGCCACCCAAAGACCACAGCAAGGACTTACTGTGTTTGTGGAAGAGGGAGGCCTGGGAAGACATGATAGTAAAGAGAAATCTTCTTCACTTCAGTCTTGCCAGGATACCAGTCATTCTTTGCCAGTTGTCCAGAGTGCGTGACTTCTAAACTTAAATCCAGTAGGGAGAAATCTAACATCATTAGGTGAATTGTGTTGCCAATTTTACATACTAGGGGCAAAACCCACTTATTCCTACCACTTCCTCTTTCAAAGAGACATTCCTCTCCTTCGTAAAGTCTGTTTTAAGTTCTCTTCTTTTCCTTTGGTGTCTACCTAGCATATTATGACTTGGAAGTTCCAGTTTCTCCATGACTCTTGTATTCCTGACCCTCAGTGCTTACTTGAGTGTGAGCAGTAGGAGTTTTTTTGAGAAGGAAAGGGACATGAACAGGCTGGCCTTAAGAAAAATAACTATGAAATGAATTGGAGGGAGCAGGGGGAAGACACACAGTGAACTCTTTGAAGGTTATAGCTGTGATCCAGATAAGAAGTGTAGATGGACACACCCAGGTAGCCGGACTGGAAAGGTGGGAATAGAAAGAATAGTAGAATGAACAAGGTTTATTAGCTGGCTATGAGGAGTGAGGCAGGGGTCAAAGATATCTCCAGAGGTGTGAGTCTGAGACGCTAGGAAGATCACTAAGTCTTTAACCGGAAAGTGAACCAGGAACGTAAAGGAAGAGTGTTAAAGGGGAGAGGAGCGTTAAATTTTGGGCCAGGTCTGGATTTGAGGTGCCTGCAGTTATCTGTGTGGGGATGTTTTGCTGGCACTTGTAAAGGCAGTTTTGAGTGCTGGCCAAAGATAGAGATTCTGGAAGTTGCAGGTATGGAGGTGGTGTGATTGCCAAGAGGGAGAAAAAGAAAGAGAAGAAGCACCACAGAGAAATCAGAGGGGAGAGAGAGCTAGAAGATATGAGCAAGGGAATGAGGTCCCAGAGGAGGCAGGAGAGGGTTAAATCAAGAGCCCAAGTAGCAGGGTGAGCTTTAAGAAGGAGGTGGACTTGTCTCTGCCCTAAAAGGAGGGAAGGAAGAAGGCTAGGTGATGACCTGAAGTCTTAGGTGGAGAGGAAAGCAGGCAAGTGGGTTTGTGTTACAGATTCCCAGCCTTCTTGGTGAGGAGAGTGTTGAGGACACACACCAGGAGTGAGAGGCCTAGGGAAGTCTTTGAGTGTTTGAGAGGGGCAGAAAGGGGTGGGAACAGTCTGCAAAGGGCCTTTGAAAGGGACCTGATAAGGAACGGTCGTGAGGATTGCCTAAAGACACTAGATACCAGCCAAAGTGGATCTCATGAATTTATAGCTTTTTGTTCTAGTAAAAGAAAACCTTAAATCCATCTCTGTAGAGATTTAGCCCAGAGACCAACCACTACCTCAAGAGATATGAAAGCCTGGATGCTGCCAAACCGTTCCCAGGAATACATGGCACAGATCTTTCTAGACTCTTGGTGCCACTGTTGCCAGTTACAGTATGTAGTAGAATGGGAGGTCTGTGACCCTGAGGAACCTAACTAAGAATCTCCTGCCAACTTCAGCCACTTCCCCCAAGTGGACAGCTTTCTAAGAGGACGAAGGAAGCAACAAGGAAGGTAGGGTGGCACCACATCAGAAAGGGAAACTTGCCCCAAAACGCCCAGCAGATTTCTGCTTATTTCTTATTGGCCAGAATTGTGTCCTATGGCCACCTTTAGTTACAGGAGAGACTGAGAAATGATTCTAAGGAATGAGCAAAATTTTGGTGTCAGCCAGTTAACTGCAGATGACTGGCTTTCCAAGCAGTCAGTAAATGTACAGAATCATAATATTAGAATTATGAGATTTCAGCACATCAGACTAAGCCCCTCGTTTAAAGATGAGACTGGACAGTTTAGGCAGATTACCCTTGGTGTCCTACGCTTGAAAAGCCAAGATTAGAACTAAGGTCTTACTACTCCTGACTCAGTGCTCTTTCCATTCAACAGAGCGTGCTGCCACCATAGGACCTGGAAGGCAGTAGAAAGAATTGCAGACCCTGTCCAGTACATCTTCATCCTGACAGGCTGCTGAGCTCTTTGCCCTCCTCTTGCCTCTGACTTTTCTTGTTTCCTACCCACATTTTTAGAACCTGTGAAAGAAATCAACCTTTGTTCTGAAATATAACAAATCAAGGAGAAAAGCCTAGCTTGAAGGACAAGTCTTTGGTGTTTAGAATTTCAAGAACATGGTAAAAGTGAATCAGCTGAAGAGGCAGAAACTTCTGATGAGGCTAGTTCACAGAGTAAGATTCATTAAACATTTTAGGTGGCAAAAATTAGATTTAACTAGATTTTCCCTTTTCTGAAAACAAGAGTTTTCTACATCTGCTTGTCACTGCAGAGGGTACTGTCTCCAGACGGGTTTGGTCATTTTCTTAGGCATTCCTGTAGTCCTCTGCGCTTCCTCTTTGTAACTCTCAGTGTCTCTGTAGTGACTTGTTCAAGATCTGCCTTTTCTGCTAGTCTCATCTCCATGAGGGCACGGACTGTCTTTCTCACTCCTCTGTGCCCCACCTAGCAAACTGATTGACTTGAATTGGGTACTTAGAAGTATTGAATGAGTGAAGTTTAGAAAATTTTGTAATTTTTTTTTCTTTTACTGTTAATAGCTTCTTCTGTGCTCAATCTATTGTCTCTTCAGAATCTGGGGGAAATGGCAAAATGGAAAAATGCATAAACTGTATATGTACATTCAATGGCTTCACTTTATAGAGATTTAATTTGTCTTAATTATATATATGTCATCTGTAGCAGGACTTTCAAATTATGCATTATGTTTTTTGAAAGATAATATATTCCCATGGTACCAAAAAAATACAAAACAATAATCAGTGAAGAGCCTCCTTTCTCTTCTTGTGTCTCAGTCATCATGTTCTCAGTGTTACTAGAGTTTTGCCTATTCTTCTAGAGACATTCTCTGCACTTACTGGCATGTTGCTTGAGTGTGTGTGTGAACAGATGGAAGCATACGCTACATTGCCCTGCACTTCCCTTTTTTCACTGAACAGCCTGTCTTTGAGCTCATTTCATATCTCTTCATTCATAATGTTCTCGTTTTGTGTGTTTGCTTAATATTCCATTATGTAGGTCAGGTGTCTATAAACTATAGCTCTTGAGTCAAATCCAGGCTTCTGCCTGTTTTTATACATCCCTTGAGCTAAAACTGGTTTTTACATTTTTAAATGGTTAAAAAAACCCAAAGAAGAATAAAATTTTGTGGCATGTGGAAATCATAGGAAATTTGGTGTCCATAAATAAGGTTTTATTGGAACCTAGCCATGCCCCTCTGTTTACATATTGCTTATGGCAGAGATTGCATGGCCCGCAAAGCCTGCAATATTTATTATCTGGCTTTTTACCAAAAAAAGTTTGCTAGTCCCATCATTACACATGCAATATAGCGTATTTAATTAATCGATGGGTATCTTTTGTTCTTATAATGCAGCATTGAATGGTCTTCTATGTACAACATTTCACATGTATGAGTAGAAGTAGAGCATACATTTCTAGAAGTGGAATTGCTCCTGGAGTTTTCAGTTCGATGTGGCACGTTCCATTTTTCCTAATTCTGTTGGGTTGCATCAAGGGGAAAAGCAAGGGAAGATGGGGGAGAGTGGATAAGGGGATCTTTTTCTTCTGGTGAAATGATTTGTGGCACTAACAAAGTCAAGTTCCTGTTGCGAGGCCTTGAAAAGACAGTTATGCTCATATCAGAGGGAGAGTCCTTTGTCCTTGCTTCCCTCCTAGGTCCTCTGACCTTCCTCAAGGACAGAGCCATCTGCAAGCCTCTGGGAGCCCTACTGTAGGTTGTCTGATTTCTCTTCCCGTGTTGCAAACATATTTAAAGTGTAAACCTAGGAAAGAAATAAAAATAAAGGACATCTTGTAATCTCTTGTAAATTATTGTCCTCCCTCTCTACTTGCACATTGTTCTATTTAAGGTGATATTTTCTTATAAGCTCAGAGAAATTGCTTCAGGAAAGTAACCATATTATAGGAGATCCAGCTTTTGGCTCACGTTGTCACTGTCTGCAGTGGGAGCCTCTGGAGGTCCTTTAATTAGTGGAAACAAGAATCTCAAAGATTCATGAAGGTTGTTTGTGACAGTAGTAGACTAACATCCAGATATTTGCTTTATTTTGTTTTCATCCTCTCATTCCAGAGGGGAAATGGTGGAAGAAATATATTCTGTCATTTTGCTGTCTTCTCCTCTCCCTCCTTCTCTCTTTCTCCTCTTCCCTCTCTTTTTCTTCCTCTCTCTCTCTGTTTTGTTTTCATTTTTAAGGCTAGTCCGAAAATACAGGTTATTTTAACTGCTGCCGTACACTTAGAAATTTGGAAAATTCTTTGGGTACTTGAGTAGATAACCATTGTTGAAATTGAGGATGATAAACTCATGTCCTTTCTTTCTCTTTGTTTCTCTTTCCCCATTTTTATCTCTCAATATTTTGAGCAGATTCATATTCAAAGGACCGGGGACCTTGGATAGTAAAACCTGTGGCCTCTTCTAGGGGGCGGGGCGTCTACCTGATCAACAACGTAAGTATGCTATGCGGCAGATGGCAACCTGTCTCCTCATTGCTTCTTCCCTCCTTCACCCTTGGTCCTGGGTACTGATGTGGTTGCTTTTCATTAAGAGCAGGTGTTCCTTTCTGAAATCTGCATTCAGAAGTGTCAGTTGAGGCTGGGTGTGAGTAGGCTGCCGTTCACCTTGCTGACAGTAACCTTCTCCCATGCCAACAGTTACTCATATGGCTAAAAAGTCACTTGATCAAATTTTGGGGGAGAGCAAGCTTTGGTGTCAGCAGAAAAAAAGGTACCCTTTCTGCTTTCAGCATACTGTCATTGTTACTTCCTCAGTGCTAAGAATTAATTGGTAGTATTTACGTTTAGTTTCTCTTGTAAGCAGAACTGTGGGTTCTTGCCCTCAAGGTCATGAAGGACATTAACCTTAATTTGGTGTAGCATCCTTGCTGCTGCTTCTACTCCTTCCTTCCTCACTCTTTCCGTCCCTCCCTCCCTCCTCCTGCTCTTCTCCTCATCCTCTTTTTTTCCCCCAAAAGTCATCAGTATCTTGAATCTTTGCAAGATCCTCATTAAAAGTTGTTTTTAAATTGAATGCATATACCGAGTAAAATAAAATAAAATCTCAACTCTATTTTCACTTTCTAGACTCACAACAGTAGTTAATAACTTAATATGGTTGATTAATCTTTCTTTTTTCCTCAACTTTACATTGTATAAATTCCTAGTTTGATATTTATTGTGCTTATATGACTTCCTATCCTACCTTCCACATTCCATGTCTAAGTTTGATTACTTTTTATTTATTTATTTATTTGGTGAGGAAGATTGTCCCTGAGCTAACGTCTGTTGCCAATCTTCCTCATTTTGCTTGAGGAAGATTGTCCCTGAGCTAACATCTGTGCCAGTCTTCCTCTGTTTTATATATAGGACGCTACCACAGCATGGTTTCATGAGCAGTGTGTAGGTCTGTGCCTGGGATCCAAACCCCAGGCTGCCAAAGCAGAGCGCGCAAACTTAACCACTGTGCCATCAGGCTAGCCCTACTTTTTATTATTTTTATATTTCAAAGGTTTATAATATTTACATTCTCTCCAATAACTATGATTCATTTTCTCTGCTTTATCTATAAGTAGAGTAAAAAAAAAATTTTAACTCAATAGAAACTTTATAGTTTGGAATTCTGAAATTAACCAGTATTTAAGCCTGGGTCTTTTTTCGTTCTTCCTCTTGGACATCTGGTCAGACCTTTTAGTCTGGAAACTAATATTTTTCTTAAGTTCAGGGAAAATTATCCCTTTTTTTGGTCTTTGTTTCTGCTTTCAGAACTCCTTTTTGAGGCATTCTTGGTCTTTTCTTCACATCAACTTTTCTCTCATTTTTCTTTGTCTTGGCTATGTTTATCTTCTAGATCACCAGTTTGAGCTCTATCTATTTTATTATTCATTCCATCTACTATATTTCTGTATTGGCTTATCATAGTTTCCAGAAACTCTTATTTTCTGATTGGCCTTTTTTTTGGGTAACTGCCTTTTGTTGCTTAATGGATACAGTTTGCCTGCTGGTCTTTCTGGGGATACTTTCTGCTGATCTTAGGTGTTGAGTTATATTCATGAACAAAAGACTAGACTGATTGAAATTGGCAGCTGGCCTGGGTTTCCCCTGCTGTTGTATAGGACTGTTTTGTTTCCCTTAAAGCTTCTCCCTGGACAAGAGGCTGATGGGGGCTTTTTGTTTTTGTTTTTTGAGGAAGATTGGCCCTGAGCTAACATCTGTTGCCAATCTTCCTCCTTTTTTTTCCTCCCCAAAACCCCAGTACGTAGTTGTATATTCCTAGTTGTAAGTCCTTCTAGTTCTTCTGTGTGGCATGCTGCCACAGCATGGCTTGATGAGTGTTGCATAGGTCCATGCCTGGGATCCAAACCGGCAAACCCTTGGCTGCCAAAGCGCAGCATGCAAACTTAACCACTACGCCACCTGGTTGGCCTCTGACAGTGGGTTTTGTATAAGGGCAAAGTATGTTGACTTCACGTTAGGTGGACATGGGTAAGGAGCCTGCCCCTTCCTTCCCCCTCACTCAAATAGGGCAGGCATTATTGTGAATATTGAGGAAGATTTTGGTGATGTCCATCTTGGGCAGAGCTGCCCTTCCTCTCTTTTCTCCTTCCTGTCTTTTGTAGGGGTAGACTGGCCTCAAGTTGCACTCTTCTATCAGATCCCTGCCCCCACACAAGATGGATCCTCCCCAGTGTATCTCATTGTCCTGAGGGCAAAAGCTTTGGGTGTTGGAGAAGGCCCTCTGGCCTCACTGTTCCAAATGCTATTTGTTAATTAATTATCCTTGGTCCACTCCTGCTCTTCATGTTTATTCATTACCAGCTTGGAACTTCTCAGAGGCCTCCTTGAGAGGAGGTCACTCTTAGCTCTGATATTTTGGCCTGGGGCTTCCTCTGCTCTGTTTTCTCAACCTGATCCCATGTGCTTTCTGTTTTTCAATATTTCGTTATACTTTTGGTCTGTTGTTGGCTCCTTTAACTGTTTTCTAGACTTGTTATCAGTTCATTCTTTTAAAAATGTCTTTTCTGCCCTTTTACTGGGACTCTGGAAGAGGGGGAGGTAGCTGTGTTGTGTGTGTGGTCAGCACTCCATCTTAAATCCCCAATTCTCTTTTCACATGGTCTGAGCTGTTTCTTGTATTTGCAGAAACTCACTTTCTGAAGGGTCTTTCACATTGGAAAATCCTTATTTTCAGTCTGGAATAAAAACTGTGCGGTAAACACTAATGGCCAGACCTTTTGTGCTGAAGAAAATGGGGCCTGGTTCTGACACAGCAACTACTACAGCCCCAGGCTGCAAGTCCTGTGACCTGGCCCTGGGTCACTCTGGAGGGCTTTTACCCTGGGTCTCATGTGACAGAAGGCTCTGGTCATGTGCGTTGGATCTCCCTTTTCTTGTCTCTGTTCTGACCTTGGCTTGGAGGCTCCTGTCCGACAGCTTTTCCTTCAGTTCCATGCCAGGAGCTCCAGTGTTGTTTGAATCACATAGACGGCACTAGTTTGGGTTTGGGTTTGAGCTGCCAAATGGAATTGCTATTGATAGTCAACTGTGGTACAAGTTTGCTTTTTATTTTCTTAGACATGAGTCAAAAAGAATAGGATCTATTCCCAGCTCATCTGGGACTTTTTTCTCTTGGAATGCTCTTTTGCCCCAGTGATTTGTTATTTTAAAACCAACATCATAAAGAATAGAAAAGTTAAACTTTCCTTGGTGGGGCTGAGAACCCGTGGGTGACAAGTCTTTAGAGAATGTGCTTGGCAGGCTGTCCTCCTCCCCCCAGCTCTCCCTGGGCTGAATCCCTTGAGACCCCCTGCATGGATCAAAGTACTTGGCAGGACCCTTTGCCTCCCCCTCCTCCTCAGTGAAGCTTTGGAATGAGTCTGATTCTTTGAGGTATTTGGTGAAGGTGCCAGACAGAAGCCTGGGAAGATGCCAGCAGGCACTGGGGGAAGCTGGCAACATGTGGACATAATGGGAAAATATTCCCATTTCACTCCAAAACTGGAATTTTATCACCTTTTACCCAGACCTGCAAACCATGTAGTTAATCCTCTTCTCCCTCTCCTTACACACAGGCCTAACCATCCCCTCTTTTCCGTACCTGGATCCTTTCCCGTGGAATATGTGACCCATTAGCCAACTGGATGAAGTAACTCTTTCCAAGGCTGCTGCTTTCCTTTTAGATTGGAGGGGGAGGGGGAGGGAGCGCTCAGGCGGAGGGTCTGTGAGCAGAACTAATGCGAATGGGTGGGGGACATTGGGGAGGGCGGAGTTCGATGTGAGGGCCAAATAAAAACATCTTTCCCCGTCTTCCCACTGGAGTGAGAGGGCCTCTTATTAAAAATTCCCAATAATAGTCATAACCTTTTGGAAAATATCTGCAAATAGCAACTTTTACCATTACACGAACAGGATAAAGGATAGAAAGAGCATTGCTTTTATGTAATATTGAAGAGAGAAGTGTGAGCTCCTACAGATGGAAGCGTCTTGGCCAGCTGGCTAGCACGGTCTCTTAATGCTGTGCTCTTTAACTCCCGAAATACAGCAAAAGGAACAGAGTTGTGTTTGCTCCAGCTCCTTCAGTAACCGTGACTAAATGCCATGTTTTCCCAATTTAGTATATTCAAATCAAGGAGGGGAAAGATCTGGTGTTTTCTGATTAAGGTATGACTTTGATTATGGAAGTCAAATTTAGTCATCCTTGTCTCACACATTATCCGTGGTAAATACAATATTAATATTTTCTCTGAGATTTTGAAGTATCAGGAAGGTATTTGCATCACTCTATTCACTCCCATATTTGTGCCTATAATTCTGTACAGCTCTCTTGTTTCTATATGTTCATATGTTGTTGCCTTATTTGCTCTCTATTTTTTATCATTGTTCAACAGTTATTTAGGGAGCCCTTGCTGTGTGCCAGGTGCTGCCACTCCTTAAAAATAGGGACTTTCTCTTAATCCTTATGTATCTTCATTAACTCAGTGCCTTGCTCTGGGTAGAATGGCAGGTGACGTGCTGTGAGGGATGCTGTGGAGTTGTGGAACTTAGTAAACAGACCCACATAGATACTGTTGACTTTGCAGTAATAATAATAACTGGATATTTCTTGAGCATTTAATATGTGCCTACCACTGTGCCTTACAAATATAATCTCATTTAGTCTTTATAAGACCCCTATGAGGTAGTTACTATTATTTCCTTATTACGTGGTAGAGTTGATTGTAACTCAGGTCTAGCTGATTCCAGAGCATATACTCTTACCATTCCGGGGTACCACTGTACCATTCTATCTTACAATCACTTAACAGCTACCATGAGCTTTAATCTTAAAGTCCAGTTAGAAAGATTAATGTATTTCCAACTTTCCCAATAATTCATATTCTAAAGCATACTTTGGGAGGGCAGTTTGAACTTGGAGTTGAAATTATTTAAAATGAGTTAATTGGGGATTGATAAAAAGAAAACAGACTTGAAGGTATCAAAAGGCTTTCACTATACGAAGAAGTTGTACCCAAACCATTCTTTTCTTCTGTGAGCTTACAGGTTAATTCCTGATGCAGATAGAAATGAAGGGGACAGACTCCTGAACAAATACTGAGTTACCTAAATGATGTAAGGGATTATGTTGTGCATCACTTGAAGGACAGATGTGTATGATGAGGAAGGGAAGGGAGGAAATGCACATGGACGCTAGGTGTGTCATGGAGTGAACACCATCGCCCGTGTGTTCTCTGGTTTGGAGGAAAGTTGGCGGTCGTGTATCTGTTGTAGCCTATTGGTGTTACTCGGTAGGAAGAGAGCTGCAGTTGTTTAATTTTAGGTTAGAACACAGCCTGCAGCTTGCTGCTTGTACGGTGATTGCCTCACTTCTTACACACTAAGCTGACTCACAATAGAGATCGTCCTTGTGAGAAACTGATCAAGAAATGAAGGGAGTCAGGAAGCGGTGTGGGTGATTCATGAGTGTGAATCAGTACTGATGTCATGGTGTCCACATGGTGCACAGAAATGGGGTGTGAAAGTTGTGTTCTGAGTTTGAGATAGTGACAGTGGGAAATGAGAGGGAATCACATTCCTGTGACTCTGGAGTTGCTCATCATGGTTGTGTATAATCTGTTGGGTCACAAAATTATCGTTATTCTATGATAACTGTAGTATTTGAGATAGCAGATGCATTATTCTAAAGACAAACTTTCGAATTTGGGGGACAATTACTTTTGGTCAGAGCTTTGGGGAAAGATGTGAATGGTACTTAAGAGTTGAGCCTCTGAGGCAGACTGCCTGGGGTCAGTGCTGCTCTGTCCATTATTAGCTGTGTGACTCGGAGCTGGCTCCTAACCCTCTCTTACTCTTTCCTCATCTGTAATATTTGGAGCATGATATACCTACCTCATGGGGTTGGGTGAGGATTAAATGAAATAATACTTGTGGAGAATTAGAACAGCGCTTGGCACCTAGAGAATGTTGAGTACCTTTATTAAATTTTATTTTTTTCTGCAAATGTTAATAGTTATTTCTGTTGCTGCTACTGTAGCTATTATCATCACAATGATTATTATAGCCACTTCCTTTTTGGAGTCCTTTTGTCCTAGCTGGATTGTGATAACTTCCAGCTGATTTCTCTGTCTTAATCTAATCTCACATAGAGTTGTTCTATTCCAGGTATTTTAATCTTACTATTTACTTAATCAAGAATCCACAGTAATTTCTTGCTTCCAACCATATTCAATCTAAACTCCCCTTGCCAGGGGTTCAGATTCCTTTGCCAGTGGGCTCCCTCCATCCTGATTGTGTAACTGTACCTTTCATCATTTCCCCATTCCATCTTTAGGTTAGTGCATCTGCCCGCTCTCCTTTCTCCTGGACCTTGTGCATGCCATCTTCCCATGATGGCCTCCTTTCCTTCCCACCATGAGCTTGATAGCTTTAAGCACCCGCTTCTGCTCCTGCTCTTCCCAGACAAGCCTGCCCTGACTGGTCCCCTCTAACTGGTCTGTACTTCCGCTTTCCAGCTTCACATCTTGCACTTGCAGATAGACTGCTTTGTGCTCTTTTAAATTATATATTTTGCTGTCCCTCTGCCTAAATATTACACTCTTTGGGAGTAGAGATTAGGCTCTGCAAGGGCAGGGATTATCTCTCTTTTCTTCATCACTGTATTCCCAGTGCCTTATACAGCATCTTAATTATCAGTTCTCATAATTATCTATCATATAAATGACTCATTTTTCATTGAGAAAATCTTTAAAAGATCTAGTTCGATCTTTGCCTACAGTGGCATAGCAAGTACCATTGAGTGAATCAATGAAACATCCGTCTTGTTTCACAGAGGAAATGCCAGGATCCATTGTGGAAAGATCTGTAAGTTGTCTAAGCAACTTGGTGAAAGCCTTCATTTAAGAATAATGGTAGTATTTTAAAGTTTCCATTGTACTTTACATTTGGGAGAAAGCAAGTTTTTATTTATTTTTTAAGTAGCTTTTATTTTGTTGGCATGTAACTATTTAATATCATGTATATAAATCTTTAAAGCTGTTTGGGCTCTCTTTATTATGTGAGAGGTGCTGTGTAGATTTATTTTTCCCCTCATTGTAATTGGATACCTACGGTGTTTATGGAGGTGGTGTGTTATGTGGCCAGTTGAATATATGGGTGGCTTGGAGGAAAATTTTCTTAGAGTGTTAGTTTTCCACATTATCATTTCTAAAAGGTGAAGAACTGTGCTCCCTTGTTGTAAGTTAGGGTTTGTTTGTGTCTCTCCCCTTTCATTCTTTCTCTTTACTCAATAGCCAAACCAGATTTCCCTGGAAGAGAACATCCTGGTCTCCCGCTACATCAACAACCCCCTGCTCATAGATGGTGAGTTGGGTTAGGCCCTTGTCTAGGATGGGTGAGATCTCACTAAATTTATTTTCACATTTTCATAGTCTTCTCTAGTAAGTCTTAAGCTAGTGTGAAATTCTTGGTAATATGGCTCCAGAGAAGAGGCTGGTTCCTTACCTACCTCATAGGATTATTTTGAAGATGAAATGAGATAATAAAAAAGGAAATGCTTTGTAGGTTATACAATAACAAATATGTATGAAAACTGTCCAGTAGATATATGTCATTTCTCTCTCTCTCCTATTAGGTATATATATGTGTATGTATGTGTGAAATGAATAATTATCGTCAGAAAGCAAGCTGTGTGGGCAGTCTGTGTTTTGTAGGAGAGCAGGACTGTTCTTTCTTTTATATTTCTTTGTTACATTGTTTTGTTTATTTTGTAACAGAAAACAAATGGACTTAGTTTTTCCTGTGAATCCAACTTTTTTCCTAGATTTCAAGTTTGATGTGCGCCTCTATGTGCTGGTGACTTCCTATGATCCCCTTGTCATCTACCTCTATGAAGAAGGATTGGCTAGGTAAGAGACTTTCTGGACAGAGGGTGTTTATTAGAGTGGACCCATTAGAGAGTATATTAAGATCAGGCTGTTTCTTTCTGTTATGTTCAACTCAGGGAAATAGAGGGCACCCAGTTGGGTTTCATATTACAGAAGTCAGTGTCATTACTGTACAGTCTCACCTGCGTATCCACACATGCGGACAAGTGTGTGAGTGTAAACATCCGCCTTTCCCAGCAGGCATCCAGGATCACATCCTATTTTCATGCAACGGCAATTGTTATGAAGACTCTAGGGCTTCAGATAATTTGCCATTGTTCTTCACAATTGATCTAGAAAGAAAAAAAAATTCCCACATTTATTTATCAGTTTATTTTAATGCTCATGACAATCCTATAGTTGATGCATTTTTGCAGTTGAGGAAACTGAGGTTTAGAGAGGTGAGGGAACTTGAAGTCACTTTTCTGAGATCTCCCAGCTGGTTGGTAGTAGAGTGGGAATCTGAACTCATGGCTTTGACTCCAGAGCTCAAGGCCTGAGCTGTTTCATGCTTTCTTATATTTAGGGGGCATTAGCTGCTTTTTTTTCTTTTTCTTTTTTCACCTGCAAGTAATATACTTTACAGTGGTTGTATATAGATTATTCTGTTTTTCTTGGAGTACTTTTTAGGTTTTAAGGTAATGTGACTTACTTACAAAATTAAGTTCCAGTTATAATAATCTGAAGTTTTGTTTCTCATAGCCACAGGATTTTACAGGTGATGGGTTTTCACTGACCCTTTAAATTGTTTAAAATAAGTATGTAACTTTGCTGTGCTGTGTTCTTTCCCACCACAAAACTGACAGATATTTATTTATATTTATCAACTAGCTTGCCCTGAAGTTCCTTTTATGCATAGTGGCCTTAGAGAGCATCGCAGTATAGGAGGTGGTTTGCATTTGAGCGGTCGTGACAAGTTAAACAGCATGGTCTATATGTGTTTCTGTATTTTAGAAAATACACTTCAGTGATGGGAAATACCATGATAAAAGAAGGCTACCTATTTAAGTATAGGTGCTTTTGACACATATTGTTGTGTTCTGACAACTGTTATTTTAGAATCTTATTTTAATTATTCCATATACTCAGATTTTTTGATTCATCCTGTGACTAGAATCAGAGGGGGAGAGCAGGCTGACCAGATTCTAGCTGGTTGAGCCATGTCCTCCCTTCACCTCTAGGTGGCAGTGACAGCATTTATAAGCCCTGTCATATTCTTAACTAGGATTTATGAGTTTGAGATCTGGGAACATTGGAGGCTGCTGAAGCTCCCTAGTTCTGGCCTCTTGTTCCTTGAAAATTGAGGAGGGAGAAAATGAAAACATTTCTCAGTTTTTAGGTGAAAGATTGAACCAGGCATCTGGGCACAAACTGACTACCAACTCTGACCACATTTTCATGGAAAGAAGTTTTCTGTAGTGTTTGTAGGCATGTGTGCTCTCATGCTCTGAAGTATAGAGGTAAGAGCTGAGTCCCCAAATTGTCTAGAATGAAAGAAGGTAAAATATACCCCTTACTTCTGCTCAGGTATATAAGCTGCTGAGGACTTTCTATTTTGTAATTTGAGATGTCTCGAGTTTTCCCTCTTGTGTATGTATTGTGGTCTTCTCCGTCCTCCTCCATTTATTCATCCTCACCCCAACTTGTCTCCTGTACCCCTCTCGGGAACTGATTATATCCTGCCACAAATTGGATTTCTTAAATAAGGAAAAGACATTGAGGTTATGCTCACTGTCTCTCAGGGATATCATGCCAGTATGTTTTGCATGTTATTCCAAAGACATTTCACCCACAATATTAGCAGCCCTCTTTGTTGGTAAAATTTGGCCTAGTTTTAAGACCTCAATGGTTCAGATGTGAAATGAGAGCAATACCAATGTTTGTTATAGAATTTACTATAGGTACACAAGTGCTTTGGTTGGGTATGTGTTAGAAGTCAGAATCCACTGAATTGAGTAACTCTCTTCTCTTGCTTCCAGCAGGAAATGAGTGTGTATATTTAAAAGGAAAAAAAAAGGATGCTCTTTCTCAGAATAATTTGGAAGATAGCTTTTTAAAAGCTCAAACCAAATTGAACCAAAAAATGTGAATTTTCAGGGCTTTGGCTCATTTTGCCCAAAAGTATAGGTGAATGTAAAAGCTTTACAAAAGGACAGTACATTATGACAGTCTGTTAGCCAGAGGCCTGCCAGGGTGTATTGCTCTGCACAATAACTTCCATGTGCCTGAGTTCCTGTGTCTTAACTCACTGTGTATCCTGGCATTCATCTGCTGCTTTTTAATCCTCACAATCCGCTCGACTGTGTCATTACATTCACCAGTAGTCTAGAGCATCTCCAGGTCTGCAGCCTCTACTAATCTTGGGTCACGTGTGTTTTATGTAGACATTACTGAAAATAATCAGTTTGGGATGAGATCACTAGGCCATTTTACTTTGAGGTTCAACAAGGAAAACCATAATCTTTCCTAAAGAGACAGAACTGGCAGCCAATACAATTGGTTTCCTTCTTTAGAAAAGAAGGGTCTTATCCCATATCACTTCTGTTTTGGGCTTCAAAATTAATGCTTGGGTGACAGAAGGATTGAGTTCATTTCACAATAAAGTTTTGTGAAAAGCATTTTGTGTAAATTCTTTACCTTCTTAAACTTACTAAAGAAAAAGACCCTAAATGGTTTCGTTCTATATTAATAATTTCAGTTGTCCTTGTTGTATTAACATAGGAAGTAGGAAACTTATTATTTTCCTATACATGGGCAAAATATTGAGATTTAAAAAAAATTGTTTTCCTGGTATTTGGGTCCAGCGTTTTGCCATATCCCACTTTTGAGTTTCACGTGTATGTTGCTGTTTTGCACCAGCAGGGGACACTCAGTTTCCAGAGAGGGGTACCATTTGCTACCAAAATGTGGGCTCTTTTTCCTGTCATAGGTGGAATCCAAAAGGACTTTGTCCTGGATTTTACAGTTTTAGGTGGATCCAATATGTGGTCTCAATGATTTGATGAGGCCCTTTTTGAGACAAAGCTAATAGCCAAATTTTCACTGAAACAGGAAAAATAAAAGTTAAAAAAAAATTAAGACAAAATTGAGTTGAAAACCAAATGTGTTGTCAGAGACCCAAAGATAGGTAGCACTAGCAAGTTGGGGGCAATGAAAGTGCCTGTCCAGGGAACTGGGCGAGTTCCCGCCACGCAGTGGAGGAGGAGCAGACGCTGAGAAGGCCCGCTTGGGGACTGCCTCTTTTCTGCCTCAGCCATATTATTCAGTGGAAATCCAGAAAAGACCCCAAAGCGTTTGTAATGCCTTTCCCTTCCTCCCTACCCCCAGTTCCTTCTTCAGTAGCCTTCCTTGCTAATTAACACTGGCTCCGCAGGGATATTTACCTTTTCTCTGCTGGATTCCTGTGGTTTTGAAAGAATTCAGGTACTTGCTGGTTGCCAAGGAATTCAGATTACCTCACAGGCTGCACACTGTCCAGAATCTGCCACAGCAGCAAGAGCGGGGAAGAGACACCAACGAGGGGGAGAAAACCCTCTCCAGTGCTCATTGTCACCATCCCTGGCAGGCTCTTGCTGTTTGTGAAGCTTGAGTCATTTCTGGCTCTAAAGACAGGGGATCAGGCTGGTAATCCCCTCCCAGACGGCTCCGTAGGGCGCTGCCTCGTCACTGCGGCACTTTGGCAGTCTCCTGGCTGCAGCTGGTTGACAGCAGATCAGAGAGCTCGTGGGCCTCTTGTTCTCTTCCATAAGATTTTTCTGGGTCAGGCCAGAATGAAACCCAGTGGCTCCTGGCAAGGCTGCCTGAGGTGCTGTCTCTTCGTCGTCCAGGCCTCTCTGGCTCTGAATAGCTACACCTGCTGAAAGATAACTCATGTGCCGCAGCCAAGGGCTCAGGGTTGGGCTCCTCTTGCCTTTGTACATTTGTAGTGAATGTTTGTTAGAATCTGTAACTATCAAAGGAGGAGGGTAACTGCTCTACGTCTAGACTATATCTCTGACTATGGTGTCATGTTCTTAGAAGAACAAAATAATTTTTGAATGGGGGAAAAGAGTTTATTTAAAAGATCCTGCTCTATGCTTTCCTTCGTCTTTTGCTTTCATACTGGGAAAGTTTCTGGAACAAGCAACTCAGGTGCAGTTTTAGTTAATGCTTATCAAGTGCCTACTCTGTGTCTAACATTGAAATCCTTCCTTCACAAAGACACTTAAGAGTGTTAGAGCAATTATTACCCTTCTCTTGATTCTCAGTGAGAAACATTAGAAACCAGAAAGGAAGTGTAGCTTTTGATTTAAGAATATATTGTCAGAATAAAGATAATCCATAAATGTTTCAGTGTGGTTAGAAAAAAAATGGGCATGTAGTTCTCTATTCATCAGTAGGCTGCAAAATAGTACCCAGGGTTTTAGATTTGGCAAAGAAAGTAGAGCTCTCCCCTCTTTTGTTTGGCTTAAAGGTCAAGGCTATGAAATTCTGTCATGAGAGCTTTTCCTAAATCTTGATTTCATTAAAAGGGAGGTTCAGACTCAATTCATCATGTAAATTTCACTGTTAGGATAAGTATTTGCAAACTTGGCCCTGGGATACCTAGTAGAGAATTACCTCTTTTAGGTTGTTGCTAATAAAGAAACTCTGCTGAACCTTTCAGGCCTAAATAGGATGAAATTTGATATATGAAGGTCTAAATCAAGGCTCACAAACCAAAGCTCACAAAGACGTTCACTGAAGGAGCTGGCCAGGTGCACACTGGAGAACTGGAGTGCACATGTCCCGCCTAGAGGGCGTTTACTTTTCAGTGCCAGCAAGTCCTTGATATGTGTTATGCTATGGTCGGAATGTTCATGTCCCCTGCAAATTCCTATGTTGAAATCCTAACCCCCAAGGTGAGGGTATGAGGAGGTGGGGCCTTTGGGAGATGATTAGGTGATGAGGATGGAGCCCTCATGAATGGGATTAGTGCCCTTTTATAAAAGAGGCCCCAGAGAGATTCCTCATGCAATCCCCCATGTGAGGACACCACAAGAAGGTGCCATGTGTCTGCCTGCATCTTGGTCTTGGACTTCCCAACCTCCAAGAATTGTGAGAAATAAATTTCTGTTGTTTATAAGCTACCTAGTTTATGGTATTTTGTTATAGCAGCCTGAATGGATTAAGACAGGTGGTATTACCCGGTTTTCTGTTCTTTAAGGAAAACTGAAAAATCTAGATTTTTATTGAGAAACTTACTTTTCTTTTTAGACTTTTAATATTGAAACTATTTCAAACATAGAAAAGATGTAAAAATAGCATGAAGAGTTACCTTTTTTACCTTTAGTCTAGAGACCCCATTCAAATTTTGCCAGTTGTCCTAATAATGTTCTTTGTGACAGAATAATCCAGGATTGCGTGTTACATAGTTGTCGTGTCTCTTTAGTCTCTTTCAGTCTGGAACAGTTCCCTTGAGTCTTCCCTTGACTTTATGACCTTGGCATTTTCAAAGATCACAGGCCATTTTGTAGAACATCCCTCAGTTTGGATTTGTCTGATATTTTCTCATGATTAGACCCAGGTTATGTATTTTTGGCCAGAATACCACAGAAGTGTTGCCGTGTTCTCATTGCATTATATCTGATGGCACATGGTAACTATTTAGTGGTATTTGACCACTGGATTAAGGTGGTATCTGCCAGATTTCTCCACTGTAAGTTACTTTGTTTTCCCATCTGTAATTAATAACTATCTTATGAGGAAATACTTTGAGATCATGTAAAATCTCGTTTCTCATCTCATTTTCACCCAGTAATTTTAATATCCATTGATATTTCTTGCCTGAATGAGTTATTACTGTGATGGTTGCCAAATGATGATTTTCTAATTTAATCATTTCTTTTACTTTTATTATTTGGCATTTTACTTCAAGGAAGAGCTTTCTCTTCTTCCCGTTTATTTATTCATTTATTTATATATGACAATGTATACTCAAGGATTCCTTTTAATGGATTTTAATCCTTTACTATGATGATTTATTTTGATGCTCAAATTGTCCCAGATTTGGCCAATGGAAGCCCCTTTGAATTGGCTTTTGTGTCCTTTTGACATGTCCACTCATTCTTTGAGCACAAGATGTCTGAGACTTACTTCTCTTGTTCTTTCTCTGCCCCAGTCCTGGAATCAACCATTTTCTCCAAGTAGCACTGACTGCTTTTAATGTAGAATAGTAGTTAGAAATCAAGATCTGGGTGCTAGGTATGCTCATTGCTCTGTGATGTCTCTGCTCTCAGGTCCTCACAATGGACAGGCCTAGGAAATAGATATATGTGTGTGTACATACATGTACACACACATATACATTTATCTTTATGTTTATTTCTATATCTATCTCTATATATTGAAAAGCAGGAGTTTATATTACTAGCTCCAATTCTAGTTCATTCTAGCTTTTTCCATTTCCATATTATTTTATCTCTTCTCTGACGGTGAGAAATCTGACTCCCATTATCTTCAACATATTTACATATTTACTCAATTCTGTTCTGTGTAGCCAATCTCCCGGCCTCCCTGATCCCTGCCCCACTCAGATGGCCTCCTTGTGTGGACTTTGACCCCTGTGGGGCCACCATCCTGCTTGGATAACCTCTTTGTACTGCCTCTGGACTGCCTTCCCATCCTGTCCACCATCATCCTGTCCACATGGGCCCTGGCTGCCACTGGACTGCAGGAAGGAAGGTCTGGTTTTTAAATGTTGGCCAAGTAATTCAAGTTTAAGAAAAAAAAAAAAACCTCTTGGGTTAATCAGAACTTGATTAGTAGGCCGGATCTGAGACTAATGGGACCTCTGATCTGGACAATAAGAAGAAAATATTGGAAAATAGTGATCAGAGATGAATATGGTCTGCTTAACATGGATTTTAGTGAGAACCATAAGATCTTCCTGGGTTAGGAGAAACGATGAGCATACACACCTGCCTTTCCTCCACGTGGTCTCCTGTGTTCCCAGTTGGGTTAAGTGAAATAAAGAGTGTAGCACTTTGCCCTTTTGGGTAACTGTTCCATTGAACTTAAGTTTTTTGTTTTTGTTTTCTCTGATTCTTACTTCTTACTGCTTCGTGTGCTCTGTAGAAGCCCACTCTGTTGACATTAATAGTCTTATCCTTGCTGAGGTTCAGAATATAAATGCCCCAACAAAAAGGAAGATTAGGAAGGAGAAAACACGTTTTAGAGATGCAGTCCTATTGAAAAAAGGAGTATAGGAATGACAGATGTGTTGGGTACTAGGTTACAGTTAACTTCTAGGCCTTTGCCAGCCTGTTCATGTTGTTGACCAAATTAGATCAGGTACTCATGTTTATGAGAGTTGACAAATCTCTTTCTCTGAAGCAGAACCTTTTCCCTCCCTCTGAATCATTATTCTTTTGGGGGAGAGATGGCAGGAGGTATGTCACTGTGAGGTAATGTCTGGTTGAGGCCTCTGTGGGGCCTGCATGGGCCCCCTTTGCATTTCACAAGAATTTAGAGAATGACTGTCTCCTGCTTGATTGGAGAATCTCTGTAGAAGGAAGATTGGGATATATAGGCAAAGTTGACTCTCAGTGGAGCGACATGGATAGAAGTTAGATGATAACTACTGGAAGTTTCTGGAAAATCTGAAGTCCTTCCCTTGTGTGGACATAATGCTCATCAAACTCTTGTCCCTTAGCCATATGTGCCTGGTCAACATTTTCTCTGTCCGCATCCTTTTTCCTGGCTTCATGTTTGTTTTAGTTTTTGGGGTTTTTTGGGGGCTTTTTTCACTTTTCTTTCTTTGGCTCTTTTATATTTCTATTACAGGGAATTAGGGAGCAGAGGTAGTGGGTGGGTGAGAAGAAATAGAGAAGAGGAAAAATTTTAAATGCTGCCCTTTAATGTGGTAAAAATTCATCTTGACTTCATAGTCTGAGTAAGCAGATGTAAATAATTTGTAAATCAGATGAAAATAAACTCGCGGCCTTCCAGGATTTTTTTTCATACACTTGGATGTGCCTCTTGGGAAAACCACTTTAGTGAAGGGTGATATGGTTATAGTGGTATGTAAACAGGGGTTGATATTTACCATAACCGTTCGACTCGAGTGTCCTTTTGTTGATGTTGAGCATCACTGGAAACTTTTCTCTTTCCCTGGTTACTTCCTTCAGAGGCACATATATTTTATACTTTGGTCTTCTTTTGATGATAGTCCAGGATATCAGATTGCTGCCCTGTATTCAGTGGGCTCCATGTTTAATTCTTCTGTCTTTTGCCTTCATTCCAAGTTCAGGAATTAGTCTCCTGCACTATGCTCATATTTATGCTGTTCTGCAGACCTAGGCTTTTTCTGCTGTTAATTCTGCCATTATTGTTTTCTTAAAATCAACTTTCCAGATCACTACTGTTTTTTCTCTGGATGTGAGTTCTAAGTCTATGAACTATTATGCTATCCTTTTTTTCTTTTTGCTTAGTATTTTCCATAGAATGCTCTAGTACCAGTTACTGTGTGGGCATTCAGTAGGTACTTCTTTTTTATTTATTTATTTATTTTTGGAAGATTAGCCCTGAGCTAACATCTGCTGCCAATCCTCCTCTTTTTTTTTTCCACTGAGGAAGACTGGCCCTGAGCTAACATCCGTGCCCATCTTCCTCTACTTTATATGTGGGACGCCTACCACAGCATGGCTTGCCAAGCAGTGCCATGTCTGCACCCCAGATCCGAAGCGGCGAACCCCGGGCCACCAAAGTGGAACATGCGCACTTAACCGCTGTGCCACCAGGCCGGCCCCTCAGTAGGTATTTCTTGACCAGCTAATGCCACATCATCCACAGTGTCCTGTTCAGAATTGCCAAGGTTGTGAATAACTCTATTTTCATTTTTCATCCTTTCTGTCGATCTAAGGTTCTATATAAGAGAAGCAACATCTTGTGGTTAAGAACATGGATTTTGGAGTCAGTGTGATTTGGGGGCAAGTTGCATAATCTTTCTAGGTTACATTTTAGTTTTTATATCTATTTTAAAAATTAGATATAATATAACCCACTTCAGAGAATTGCTTAAGGATTGAATTAAATGCAATATAATGTAGGAAATACTTAGCATGGGGGTTGGCACTTATTAAACACTCAGTATTTGTTAGTGATGTCACCCTCCCTTTATTAATATCTCATTAATCCTGAGTTCTAGCCTGTATTTCCTTGAAACCCTGTTCCTGGCATTTAACCTGTGTCTTTTCTCTCAGATTTGCAACTGTGCGATACGATCAAGGAGCCAAGAACATTCGGAACCAGTTCATGCACCTGACAAACTACAGTGTGAATAAGAAGAGTGGAGACTATGTCAGGTACTGGCTGCATCTGAACCCAGAGCCGGAGAAGTCAGTCTCAGGTGTGGGTGTTGTGGAAGTGAAAAGTCAATGTGTTGCACTGGAGGAAAACTTTGTTTCTACCCATGTAACTTATAGAGAATGGTCAGGGTCATTTAATGTCGTTTTGAGGCATGTCTGTTGCTGCTTCTCCGTTGCTTGCCCAGTTACAGTGTCACCTTTCTTAAACAAAATCTGCCATCCCAGGTTTCATCTTTCTCATTGTCTTCCCTTACTTTACTTAGGCATATGGAACTTTTTAGAAGTCAAGAAATGAGGTCATTTCAGCACTTGGCAAAATGTACCAAAAACTTTAAAAAGATTTGTACCCTTTGACCCAGGAATTCCATTTCTAGGAACTTAACCTTAAGAAATAACGAAGGATGTGCACACAAGATCAGAGACAAGAGTGTTCATCACTGTACGTTGTCAGGTGGAAAAAGCAGGTTACCAGACTCTACATGCAATTTAATTTTTTTTTTGAATATATAAGATAACTTAAGCTGTTTGTGCTGAGGGGGGAAAAAAGAAAACCAGGAGGGTATATACTAAAATGTTAACAGTGCTTAACTATAGTGGATGGGATTATGGGTGGTTGATTTCTGTTTTCTTCTCTGCTTTTATGTATTTCTTAAATGTTTCTAAAATAAATACTTGCGTGATCAGGGGGAATAAAAGTTAGGAATAAATTAAAGAAAGAAAGAAATGAGGCCATCTCAGAAAAGGATTCAGTGGAAGGAAGTACCAGTCCAGTTGTGTGGAAATATTCTTTCTGCTCTGTTTTCTTTCATCCTGATAATTTTGCCAGAAAGTGGAAAAATAAAAAAGAAACCCAAACAGTTATTTTCTACTCAGACTAAAAATAGGTGCCTAGAAGGTCCAAGGAAAGAAAGAAAGAAAGGAATCTGGAAGTGATGGCGTAGTTGCCAAAGCTATATAGATTTCACTGAGTGTCCTGTGACCAGTGTTTGGAATTGGTTGAAGATATCATATCCTTCCCTTGGAAAAATGAGCAAAGATGCAACTGGTGGGTAGTAAGATGGTAGTAAGGAGTAGGGGGCAGCTGTAAAACGCGAGTTCTAGATTGCAAGATCCTCCCAACAGTCGTAAGGGTCTGCCCCATTTGCCACTTGCCTGCTGTAGTGCTGGTGTACTTCATTACTTTTATTGTTGCTCTAGTGCATTTTCCTTTCCGTAATGAGTCAAAAGGTATCCAGAAGAGCTGTATCTGCCACCAGAGAGGAGAGAGCTTGCTTCAGATGCTAAAGCAGTTCTGTGCTGGGTTGGCTCATTAAAATGCTACACTAGATTAGCTCACTAGCCCTTTCAGACTCAGTTCTGGTCAGAAAATGGCATCAGAGGTTGTTTTGTGGGCTCATATGGCATTTACCTCAAAGGCTAGGTTTGTCCCCCCAAACATTTCAATCTATGAATGTCTTATAATCCTTGTTAAATTTGTGTATATTCTTTCACGCATTTCTTTCACTCTTTCACGATGCATAATTGTTTGGTTAAGGAAGAATTTGCCTTCTTTTCCTCTATGCACCAGCACCATGACCCCTCCTCGGCCTCGCTCGCCACCCCCCTCCCCAATTAGGCAAGCTATATGCATTTTCATTTCAATGGAAAAAACTAGTACAAAGGGATATATGACAAAAAGGACCAAGAAAAAATGGGTAAGTGGAAGTCAGCAAAGGGAATGTTTTTCTGAAGACAAAAGGACAAGAAGGCTGTTTGTAAAATATCTTGTTTCTGCAGCCAGGCCTAGTTGCATATGTGACCTTGATCCACTAATTTGTTTTAGTTGTGATGATCCAGAAGTGGAGGATTATGGGAACAAATGGAGCATGAGTGCTATGCTGAGGTATCTGAAACAAGAAGGCAGAGATACAACTGGTGAGTACCAGGCCTTTTTCCTCTTTGACCTCTCTTCTTCTTTGTATAACTTTACCATATGTCACCAGGAGTCATTCTCTCTAATTCTAATAGTGTTGATGTCTAGTGGGATCATTGTCCCTCGTGTTAATTTTTCCTGCCCTTTACAAGATGGAGAACAGGTTTTCTATGACCCCTGAAATCCATCTTCTTGTTTCTGGTTTGGAAGGCATGGTTTTTCTTTTAATCTTTAGTGAATTCACCTTCTTGGATGTTGAACTGCTAACTAAAATACCACCAGCTTTTTATGTAACAAATTGTCTGTCTCTATATTGGTCCTGAGTTCAAATTTTTCTAAGCTAATCTCTCTCATTTGTTTTGCTGAATTGGAGAATTGGCAGTGTCAAATTTGAGTACAAGGCTTGGAATCAAAATGGACACTATTTCTAAGTCTTGAGCAGAATGGGAGACAGTGTGCCGAAAGACCTATCTCAGTCAGCAAAGGCAAGGGTGAGAGGAGCAGAGTGAGAAGGGAAGTATAGCTCCTTTTCCATTTAATGTCTTTTGTCATGAGAGGCCACTTGAGTACATCCCCCACCACCTACATTCTAGACTGTGTTGCCCTATTCACAGGTTTGCCTTCTCCTGGAGCACCCATTCGCAAGACTGCCATATAGACTTTTTTGAATGCACACACATGCTTTTATAATTGTATTGTGTTTTGGAATCCAGTCCTTCTAATCCATGCATTATAGTGTTTCTTCCTTCTTCTTTTTCTTCTTTTTTTTTTTGGTAGCGTTGATGGCCCACGTAGAAGACCTGATCATTAAGACCATAATCTCTGCTGAACTAGCTATTGCTACAGCCTGTAAAACCTTTGTACCTCATCGCAGCAGTTGTTTTGGTAAGGAGACTCAAGAAGCTTAACATGTTTTGTGAAAAGGGCCTTGGGAAGTTGTGGTGGGATCCTGGGGTAGACAGGCTTCATGACTCTACAGGCGTAAGAGGGATGTGGTGACTTTTACTTCTTTCTAAGCTCACATAGCATATGAAGATCCTACTGAGAGGCCAGTGGTCAGCTTAGCTGGAGGTCCCCCGAGGGCTGACTAGCTTTCTGTGTGGGGAGGAGGTATGGGAACTAAAGCATGGGGCTCTTTGTCAGAGTGCAATCAGAGAAAGTCTGCAACGGGCTGTACAGGAATCCAGCTCTAACAAATATATTCCAGAGCTCTTTGGCAGCCAGACTGGGAACTGTTCCAAGAAGCTCTGGCTGGTACCAGTGTGTGCTTTCTTCCATTTTCCGATGACTCCTCCTTTTTGTTTTAGTCTTCTTTCTAGTGGGTTCCTCCCCATCCCCCTCTTCTTCTTTCTTCTCTTCCTTTTCCTTCTCCTCTCCTTTTCCCTCCCACGCCTAACTCTCTGATTGCACAGAGGAGTAAGAAACAGTTCACAGCTACTGGCAGGAAGCTTGTTGCCTCCTGATCCACCGGCTGTGACTGTAGTGCCAAGGGTGCCTGTCTACGTTTGCTTTCTGTGTAGATGAGAACTCCTTAGCAGTTGCCAGTATGAGTGTCGCTGAAGTCACATAGGCTTTCAGCAGGTGTTATGCTATGCTAGTAAAACCTACTAGGGTCATTGATGGGGGGATAATTCAACACAGTAGTAAGGATACAAGTGTCATGACTTACTTCAGAGGCAGGGGAACAGGAAAGTAAAGAACATGGGCCTGAAAGCCTGACAGACTTGGTTTGAAACCTATTTGCGCCCCTTACTAGTTTTCTGATTTTTAGCAAGGTTCTCTAATCCTGGGTCCTCCACTATAAAATGGCAGCAATGGTGGTACCTGCTCCCTAAGAGTACCATGAAGAGCAAATGAGATGATGCACGCAAAGCACTTGGCACGGTGTCTGGCCCTTAACTTGTACTCAATGAAAATTAGATTTTTTTGTTAGTTTTATAATTAGACATTATAATTCTTGATCTCCTTAATGGATTATCATTAACAGTCTGTACTTGAGGGGCACTCAACAGGGAAGTGTTGAGACTCTGAATAGAAGATGGTAGATAAACCAGGACCTAAAATTATATGGGACAAGAAGAGGTTGTAATATCCTTTTTAAATGCACATATGTTTGTGTCTTCTAAAACCCTTAAATGGCTCTTTAGGCATTTTAGTAAATAGAAACTTGATATGCCTTTAAGGCTTCTAAGGATCTGAACCCAGCTGACTTTTCTAGAGTTCCCTTTCCCCTCTTACACCTTATGATCCAACTGTACCGCTGAGCACTCCATACCTTTGTGTGTCTTTATAAGTTCTGCTGTTCATCTAGAAAACTCTCCTCCTGTTTGCCTTGCATACTCCTGTTTATATTCTAAGACTCCGCTTGCCACTACCTCTTCTAGGAATCCTTGCCTAACGAAGTGCCCTCTGGTGTTTCCTCCCTCCTGCTGTTCTGTACTTGTTCTGTTATATTCTCTTCCTATCGTATTGTGATGTTGTGTTTTCACATATACTTCCATAGTAGTCTCTGAGCTTATCTTTTTGAATTCTTACTAGTCACTGTGTTTCCCATTCCCCTCTTACCCTATTTCTGCCAAACCAAAGTTTTCACCATCTCCCTGGACCTCCCAGGTCCTTTCCTTTGCACCTGCTTTATCCTGTGTCTGAACTACCTTTCTCCTGTTACTGTATCTAACAGATTACTGACATCTTTTCAAGATGAAGTCAGCTATCACTTCTTCCGTGAAGTTTTTTGTAAGTCTTCCAGCAGACTTAGCCTTCACGCCCCCCGTACTCCTCTGTTCATATCTGCAGTGGTACCTGCATGTGGTCACGTACCCATTTATGTGTCTGTCTCCCCCACTGGACTAAAAGCTCCTTGAGGACACAACAGTGTCTCCCTCGTTTCTGCCGCTCCCATGCACAGCAGCATTTTTTTGCTATTAGAGGATCTTCAGGAAATATTAAATGAATGATTGGTACTTACTTTAATTGCCTTTTGATGACCTGACAGTTGGCTTCCCAGTGGATCTGGTTTGTTATGGCCCTAGAGCTTTTAGAATTATTGCAAACTGAGGAGTGGGCACGGGGAATATAACTCCAACTTCAAAAACCTTATTAGATTTAAAAAATAAATGAAAGTTTCTTTTCCACATCTACTTGGCACTTATATGAGGTAAACTTCTGGTAGCTCTTAGTGTAAAAATCTTTGTTCTAGAAACCATCACAAGGTCTTCTGAATGTTTCTTTCTCTATTTTGTTTTATTACCTGAGCTTAAGAATTTCTTGAACTTAATGGCAATAGAAGTTCTGATGTGAAATAAGCAGTGACTTTCCCTGACTCACTGAAACATCCCCTAAGTCTGTTTCATCAGCCTTGGGTCTCCTTTCCCCCTCCCATCTTGTGTTCAGTTTTAATAAACTGCATGCATCTGGAGTTTTTTAAGTTGTTGACTGTCTTCTTGGCTTTTGTGGTTCTAATTCCACTTCCTGTCAGCCCTGGGATTTTGTGTGCTTCATTAACCTCCCCCCTTCAGATATGATTTTGTATACGTGTGTATATTTGTGTGAATCTCTTTGCCTCCCACCGATTCCTAACCTCCCCTGGGGTTTAAGTTACACGGAATAAGCTGGGTTTTTTCTTTTCTTTTCTTTTTCATTTGTTTTAGAGTAAACAGGAATTGTGAGCTTCCCAGAAGAATTTGGCTTGAACAGAGCATTGGTGCTTTTAGAGGAAGCCAGTAGTCCAGTGACGGGGTTCACTATATTCTTTTGGTTGTTGTTTCTGCCCTGCCACATTGTGGATCTTTGCCAGGAGTGTTCCATTACTGTCTTAAGTGTTTCTGTCCTATGATTTTTTCCCACCCTACCACCTGTAATGTCCAACTATGTTTCCAGGTACCATCAATATTTCCATTTTTTGTTTATTTATGCATTTAACTTTTTTCAGTTGCTGCTGTGTGCAAGGTGTAGATTATAAGAATTTGTTCCTCTTAAACTAAGTTTTACAAGGGATGCTGTAAACATATACCTGTATTGTATTATTAACATTTAAATGTAGACTTAGGAACCTTCACAAACTATCTGAAACTTAGCCGTTTAATGCTTTTTCATAGATTTGTACATCTGGAAAGGACTTCAGAGAATACCTCATCCATATAAAGAAATGGAGACCCTGAGAAATTAAAACTTTTGCCCCAAGTTCTAGAGCTAGTGAGTGAGACAACTCGGATGAAAGAGACTGAGCATGGAGAAAAGGGTCAGAAGATGGGTCTTGGCAGTCAAGTCATCTTAAACATGGGACTCGAGTTATAGAATTTTTGATGCCTCTCCTTGTAAAACAGACTTTTGACAGTCTAATTGTCACTGCCTTCAAGATTGTGAAAATGTGGCATCATGTGAAATATATGCTTAAACAGCAACCCTTTAAATATGCTTAGGAAATTGGCTCTGTGCAGTAACTGGCTATGAGAACAGCTTTTTTGACCAGTTGGAGAAAAACAGCCAAAAACAACAGGATGTTAGTTGTCCTTTAAAGATGCTGCTGCTGACAGGGATTTTATCTGTGTGTGTGAGGATGGCTGAAGTAACAGGCTATGACTCTGGTCCTCTCCAGCCTGGGATCATATGAATCAGCTGTCATGCGCCTTGTAAAATTGATGAAGCTGGCATTGTTTGGATCAGAGACCAATGACATCTTTGCTCAGGACAAACCATGCTCAGTACACCTTTCTTTGTTGAATGTATGCTGGTTTGGCCTTTTACTGATACTGCTTTAGACCATTTCACAGGATAGGCTGTCAGTCTTTTTTTTTTTTTTTTTTTAAGATTGGCCCTGAGCCAGCATCCGTTGTTGTTTATTTTTCCCTTCTTCTCCCCAAAACCCCCCAGTACATAGTTGTATATTCTAGTTGTAGGTTCTTCTGGTTCTACTATGTGGGACACCACCTCAGCATGGCTTGATGAGTGGTGCTAGGTCCGCGCCCAGTATCCAAACTGGCAAAACCCTGGGCCCCGGAAGTGGAGTGTGTGAACTTAACCACTCGGCCATAGGGCCAGCACCTAAGCTGACATTCTTAAAGGGAGGATGTCCAAAAATATTTTTGAAGGAATGAAAGCGGGCAGCATACATTCTCTAATAATGTAAACTACTTGACCAACAAAAAAATAATGAAAGTCATCAAACAATTCACCTTTTGAGATAGTCTCCTTTTCTGGTTTATCCCATGCTCTGGTTTAGATGGGAAGGGAAGTTTATTTTAGAAGGGATTTAGTAGAAAGTACCTACTGTTTATCAAACTCTTCATTGGTTATTTCCTTTAGTCCTCTTAACAGTTTTGTTGGTATTTATTACTCATGTTTTATAGACAAGGAAAAAAGATTCAGAGAGGTTAAATAATTTGTCCTAGGTCATGCAGTTAATAAATGGCAAAGCCAAGTTGAGAGCCAGGTCTCTCTGGCTCTTTTTCCACCCACATAAAGACAGGTTCTGATCTGTCCAGCCACTTTTGGCATACCCCATATCCTGGATTCTCCTTCTGCTCTCCTGTAACTGGATCTCAGGAAAAATGATATCATCCTTTCTAGCAGATCAGGCCTGAAAAAGAGAACTCTTTCTGCTCTAATCAACGGTACCCAGTCCTAGATGCTCCTTTCAGATCTACCTTTACATGTGGTAGCCAGATACCGGTTGATTTATTGGACTAGTTAACAAATTGGCTCTGAGCTTTTTCTTTTATTTAGTTCATTTTCCTGAGGGATCTTGATCTGCTTTTTTCTAAATTCTCCTTCTGGACCACAGATATAGACTTCCTCCTTAGGTTTTCAACTCAAATCCAAAGCCAGGGTGAAAAGAATTTCCTTTATACAATAGCATTGAATGACAGTGAGTACTGGCTAGTGTC